TTTTAATTATTAATAATAAAAATTATAATATTTATTAAATCATAAATACAAAAGGCTTCTAACCAGATGTCTTTAATTATATTATATTTATATTATTATAACTATTTCTGCCATCTATCTAAAACTGTTATTATCGGATATTATTACATAATAATAATACTTACTTACTTTCTGCTATAATCAAATGAAAATACAAGTCTCAATTTCTCTATTTTGTTATTTATATAATACAATTTTATACAATAATTATAAATAATTCATTACAGTTTCCTGTTTCTATATAATTATTTAAAATGTAAAGAAATGTAAGGAAGAGAGTTTCGTTACATTATTTTTAAATTTAAAATGTTGGTCAACAGGTTTATTTATATACGAGTTTTGCTAGTTTATAAAAAGAAAATATTTATCGAAGTATCTTGTAATAACTTGTATGTAATAATTATAAATAATTATTATACTCTCGGCTTTCTATCAAATAACAAATAATATTTATAAGAAAGTAAGAGAAATTAAATTTTAACGTTTTAAAATAACTGTATGGGATTTTTACGATTTTTGTAATTATATTTACATTTGTTGTCCGAAATAATTTTATAAACAAAGCATAAAATAAAGTCTTAGTAAAAAGAAATATTAATGTTATAGCTGTAATTTGAAACTAATTTATTACCAAATATAAAATAGTTTAAAATCACGTACTTTAAAACCTCATAAACTTAAACCGACCAAAAAGAACCTTGACTGTGTAGAGGAAAAAAAAAATATGTAATAAAATAATATAATTGTGTTTTATTTTTTTTTAGAATTTATTTTTGTTTTGTAATTTTACTATAGTGAATCCGTACTGATTCGTTTTTTTCTGTGAGTTGGAATTCATGAAATATTTTCATGTTGCTGAAAATAATGTTTTTTATTCTCTATGGATGAAGGAAATTGGTTTCTGTGTAGAAATTATTAGTTTTTTTTATATTTGTATATTTAATTTTACGAAATTGTTGTTAGAATATTTATAATTGCAATTTTTAAATTTGAAATTTGATCGTTTATTGTTATCTTCTCATGATTTTTATTAAATAATTCTTAGGATGTTTGTAATGATTTTTATAGTTGATGAAAATTGATGAAATTATTCTCAAGACGTTTGTAAATAAATAATATCTGAGGGCGCATACATTTTTTAACTTGCATTTAAGTTTATGTCTTTTTTTTTTATAAGATCTCTGTGATGTTTTATTTTTACATTGATGGTGAATGGGACGTTTAGGAAATTATTCTTAGGATGTTTGTAAGTAGATAGGGCCTACTTTGGCAATAATATCTGAGGGCGCTCTCTGGTGTCTATTATCGACCCTGTGTCGTGGGGCGCAGCGCCCATCAGGGCGGCGTCAGGCGGCGTCGCCGTGTAGTCACGCGGCGATCTTCGTCCACTGCGGCACGTCGCGACGCTCGCGCCACATCACACCATAACCATACCACACGACGACAACACGACACACGCTCCTCTCTTTACGTGCCGAAAGTACGGAAGAACGATTTCATAACCGCGTTTTATGTTTGTATAAGAAAAAAAAAAACAAAACCAACCCTCAAATAAACGAAAACTGCACTTGCTAAAAAAAAGTAAACATAAATTAAATGCAACAAATGTAGAATAATTCTGAAACGAGCTGACACAGAGATTATTTTACTCTCATAACATTCTCGAACTATTTTCAGCGGTGACTTCACTTTCATAACGTGATTAGTGCTAGTGTGTGGCGTGCACATGCTGTGACTTTACCATTTGGGTTCTCGTTTTTCTTTATTATATTTACATACGAAATTTACTGAAACTGTTTAATTACTTCGCAACCATTTCTGGTCGCGCGACATTAGAACTTCACACAATTCATTATTCTTATTAATTCATACAAAGTATACTTTTCAACTAATTTTTGTAACTTTATGTAATTTCTACAGATTATATTGAAACATTTATATTATAAATTTTAAAACTTACAAAAAAAAATATTAATTTTTAAATTAATACTAATTTAAATGAACGATATCAAGTAAAACACAATTCATATTTTTATATCAATTATAAACTAAAAAATCTAGTTTGATGGTAATTATTAAATTTACGTTATTTTTAAAGGAAATGAAGACTAACATTGGTAATTAGATGTATCTCTATTTTGTTATTTATTTTATTCAATAATTATAAATAATTCATTCTAGTTTCCTACACTTTATGCTTTATATAATTGTCTAAAATATAAACAAATGAAAGAAAGAATATTACGTTATAATTGTAATTTTTAATAGTTTGCAAAAAAGCAAATATTCATTGAGAGGTATCATGTATGTAATAATTATAAATAATTTATGAGACTCCCGTTTTCTATAGTTATTTATAAAATATGATTAAAAGGTTTCATTATTTTAAAATGAGGATTTATGCCAATATATAAACATATATAAAAATAATAACGTTAAATTTGTTGATTGAAATAATAATTAGATTAGACTAAAGCTATGAATTTATTAGACTAAAAAGGTATAACATCCTTGATCTCCCTTATAGATTTTAAAATTGGAAGAATGTTGTTTGTATTTTTAAAATTAATATTTATTTATATAATATTAGGTAATTTTCAATGGGAAACTATTCCACTCAGTGTTATATTTTGTTATAGTTCCAAAACTATTTACTCTTTGCATTTGGCAGATTGTGAATAATAAATTTATTAATAAAAAAACAACTAACGAATAAATTTTAATTATTTTATTATTTTCTGAATGAAAATATTTAAAATATTATTTATTAAATTGAATTAAATATGAATTGAACAAATATTAATTATTTATTCAGTTGACGTTGAATTACGGTCTAATTGGGATTTGTAAATAAATTTCAATTAAGTTTTAATTTGAATATAAATAAATGAATATTTAATATATCTTGATGATTAATTAAACATGTGGTAAATATTTAAATATTAAATAAAACATTATTTTTATGCTTGAACTTATTACGCGTTTTGCTCAATTAATATTATTGTTTTCTTGTCATTAATTTTCTAAATATTGATACACAATTTAAAACGAAATGTTTTAATTTAAAAAAATGCAATATAAATATTTAATATTACTTACAGACATTTTGTTAAAAGAAAAAGTATTTAGGATATTATTCTGATGAATATTGGTATAAATTTAGAACAGTTCATGTTTTGTCTCTATTATATTTCTTTCTTTTAATTCATTCACTTCATTACATCCACCCGAGTTACTTCTGCTTGCTCTGCACGTAACGCGACTTTCCGCCAATCTATTTATACGTGACAGTTAGTTGATTCTTTCCCATTCGCAACTGCATGCATTCCGGCTAATTACCACTAATTTATTTGTTTGGATACACGTGGGAAAGTCGTCGAAAATATATTCCTCTTCCGCAACGAAACTGGCCAAAATAATAGATGTACAACAAATCCCACCAATGAATTTAAATTCAAGTGGGATAAAGATTCTTTGGTCGTACATTTAATCCATTCGAGTGCAAAGTGTATTTATTTTATAAATATTAAAGGGATTTCCGAGCGACTGTTTAATCCTCACTTGAACTATTTCACTTTGTGCTTCAAAGCATATCTAATTTTTGTATATTTCTATTAAATAATATAACTTACTTTTATCTCATTTCACTAAGAAAATCTATTACCTCGCATAGTGCGGGTAATCAGTTACAACTGTTTGAAACCGGACTAATCGAGGAACTAAATACGTACAAAATTAACCTCAGAAAAGGAGACTGTATATTTTTTTTCTTTTTAATTTATTTTGTTCAATTAAAATTTAGTTTGTTATGAAATTTACAAACCGGATTAGTCGAATCCGGGTTGATCTAATCCACACAATATGACAGATTCATCGTTTATTATTAAAGGTAGATGAAAAAAAATATATTTAACGTGAGTTTTTAATGAAATTTTAACTTTGCTAAAGATTTAATTACTAGTTAATTTAAACTTACTTAAATCGTAAATTGTTTTAGAATCTCATTAAAAAGAGATTTATTACGAGCACGACACTTTATAGGGTATTCCGTGTGGATGCTGCAATATTCAATGATGATAATGTGGAACAATTCTGTATACTAATTAAAGAATCTAATGGAATTACTAACTACAATTTACCCAATCATTTATTTACACTTTGTGTACTGTTTTTATGCAGTTTTAGATTCATTTATTTGCATTATTTTATAATAGTTTTAAATAATACAAATAAATGAATCTAAAACTGTATAAAAACAACAATTCTCTATAAATATAAACAAAAAGTATTGTATATGATAATAAAACGTAAAAAAAACTGTACGAGGAGTAAGCATATATTTGTCATATTAAGTATTCTATAATGAGAATATTATTGGATACAATTCCAATTATTTACTCAATAATACAATTTGTGGACGTTCGTGGAACTCGGGTTATAAACCTTTCGTGTAATAAATTATTTAATGTGTCATTGCTTCATCAAAGAAATGCACTGAAAATTGACATTAAAATCGATATGAAAGTATGATTCCATTGAAATAAATTTAATGTTATAATAATTGATGTGATAACAAATTAAAAACGAATTTGCTTCAATAAATATGTAATAAATGATATTTTTTCTGTAGTAAAATTATATTGATTATTTCAAATTATATACATTTTGTTACATAAATTAGAAAGAAAAAAAGTCGCTTTTTATAATTAGCTTTTTCTTTCATACTTCGACCGTAACTAGTTTGAAAGTTGACTTTAATATTTTCCAGATGTTTAGAAACTGTGCCAGTAGAATCGGATCTTAATATTATGTTAAACTAGACTTTGAGCAGCAAACTTTCGCGCTAATCTCATTTTAATCAAGATTAAACGATTTCCATATAGCTTCGAAATTTAAATTATAATTGAACTCAAATGAAATAACTCAATAGTTTTTTTTTTCCAGGCACAATTTTAAAATACAATTTACAGTTTTTTTTTGGTTGATAAGACTAGAATATTAGTGAAATTATAACAAAAATGTGTTCAAGATGTAGCCGTTGTTGTAACAACACCGAAGACGACGAAACGATTCCAGACTCTGAAAGTTGTTCAGGTGATTTCCTTGCTCTCATCATCATCATCCTCAAACGTTTCTTACAATTCCATTATTACACAGATTCTAAAATATTGTTTTTCTTTTGCAGAGGAAGAATGGAATTCGGATGGAAAATCCGGACGAGGCCTCTCCGGAAACGAATCCGGTAAGTGTTGTATATTTTCCGGTGAGCATTATTATTTGCTTTGCCCTCAATTTAACTTTGGAGAAGATAAAAACAAAAATAACAACAACAACATAAAAACAAAACGCCCCAGAGCTCTGTTATTTCGTATTTTCAGCTCGCAGCGTGAAAATAATTGAAACACATTTTAATGCGCACTGATTAAAAGTTCAATTAGTGGTTCTGTTTTTTTGTTTGTTTCGTTACGTTCGTTACGGCAACCCTTTCAAGGGAATTCTCGTAACACGATATCAAATTGGTATCGAGCGCTCAGCGGATATTTGAGAGGTTCATGAAGCCGGATAATTTCTTGACCACACATAACGCTTTTAAACTATCAATTTGAAACTAATGAGAAGTATCTGAAATAAATCTGCGTGTAAATTTCGATTTAGTCCTTTTGCATACATCTCTGGCGCTTTCCGTAGTAAATGGTCGGTCTCTAATGCAGTTTTCATTGATTAAAGCTTGACCACTACGCGAGGTGGTAAAACGAATACAGCCATGTACAAGAACCGATGGTTTGCGTGTTTGTTCCAACGACGTAAATCGATTGGAAAATCCCACAGTTTTTTTTTGTTTTGTAATTTATTACATGTAAGGAATGTAATTTGTGCGCAACCAACATGAATGCTCTTTCAGATGTACATATAAACTAAAACATTTTGTAATTATACAACTTATTTTACTGTACATCCGCTTGTAGCTACTACGTTACAATCACGTTTCATTCAACCTATCGATTACTTACTTCATTCATTCTTTTGCCCCTTTAATCATTTACTTCGTCTCGTTTTTTTTTGCCAAGGGATATAATGAATCTTCGTTTTTATTCTGCTCAGAAAACGCTATTTCCAATTATATGTCTGAACAAAGGAATATCAATATTTTTTTTTGGTCCTCTCTATGATTGGACTCTTGAAAACAGAAGTGGCGTGAGTGCATCATCATTGTTTCACTGGGGATTTTGCAGACAAAATCCTCCATTCCTATAAACCGATTATGGCACATCAGGGTTTTTGTTCTAATTTTCTAGTCCGATTAACTAGCTTTTAATTAAAGTGATAACTTCTTTTTAAATCACACTCTAACTAATCTTTCTTTTATATTTATTCATTTTTAATTCATTTTTTTTTGTACAGGAAAACAAGAATAACTTAAAATAATAATAACATAAAATAACAGTAACATAAAGTTTGGAATATGAATTCGGAAGTTGAAAGATGTAGAAGTTCTGAGTCCTGAGGGAGGACCGAGCTAATTAATGTTTACAGTTTTTTTTTTAAGTATATAATAGATATAATGGAAATAATCCCAGAAGAATTATATAGTTTTATTCTATTTTTTTTTGTATTATTTTCTCTGTAAATTATTTCCATAAAACACGAGGCTATTTTAAATCCAAAAAAATAAATGTTTAAGCCTTAAGATTAGTCGTGCTGTAAACCTCTTTCATTTTTATATATTCTTGCAATATAAAGTCATATAAAATATAGGAAGCAGTAGAAGTTTAACATTCTTTATATTGCAAGCACCTGAGACGCACCCTCGGGGATACCGAAGGGCATTAGGAGAGCCCGTATTTTCCTAAATATTCTGTCCGTGAATTATGAACAGAAGCCGAGACGCAGAAATTTACAATTTCCTTCAATTGCTCCAACCTAATAACATTACATTACGCACGCATGATATCGAGTGTATTCGGGATTCCCATATCTTGTGAATAAATTCGCAAATTTATGTACTGCAATATACGTTCAGACGTCCCCGCAGACACAAAACCGTTTGATTTATGTTTTCATTAGGGCGAATGAACCGCAAAACAGTTTTGGACCGAATGGCGGCATTTGCGGTTCGTTACTTCCATTGCAAATTCATTTCCACGGTCACTACTGATCGGATATTGACGAAAATAGTTTGCAAAAAAAAATCATTCCATTTACAATTTTCAACACTATTTTCTATTGCACGATTTACAATTTATAGGATAAATATCCCTGGTTTTCATTATGTAGAAATACACAGTTAACCATATTTTTCAATACTAATAACATACAAATCGTTAGATACATAACTTATGTAATATCACTAATTATTAGTTCATCAAATTTACAGATGAAACATTTTTGTATTCTTTCTTTACATCGTATGATTATTATTTCATCCTTATATATGAATGAAGATAATTAACAATTTTTACATGCAATGATGACAAAGATTTTTTTTTCTAAATTCATTTAGATTTTTCAAATTTTAACTGAGTTTCCGTATTTATGTGATTTGTAACCTTATACTTTATTTATTTTTTTAACATTTCTATCAAATTATTACACATAACAAATATGTAAGAAAACACTCATTTCATTGTGATGTTTAAACTACAATTAAAGTTTGCTATACTCTAATACGAAGTGGCACAGCGATGTACAAGTTCTGCGTCCTGAGGGAGAACACTTGTTAGTTATAAATGCATACTTTTGCGTTAATGCATTTATAATCATTCATGATAATTGAACAGCGACAGAATTTCGAATTCGTTGAAGTATTTAAACTCTCCAGCATTTAATAAAGCGGAGATATTCCAATATGTATCTACTCTGATATTTATTAAATTATGATTTGAAATCGTATGTGTAAATTCATTATTGGAATTTAGGATTTATAATGCGGCTTATTCGGAAATTATTAATTATCGAATAATATGCTGTTAAACATGTAGATTATAGTAATTATTAATCAAAGCTGAATACACAGCATACACAGCATACACATCAAAGAGTAAAAGTGATTAAATGTTAAAACATTAAAATATTAGGTTGATCTCATATAAAATATTTCTTTATTATTTACTTTTTTAATATAAATAAATCTTAATATTTCTGATGAAGTTATAAATAAATATAATATTGCTCGCATAGTCCGCATTAGATAACTCCAGATTCATTAGTTTGGTTTAAAAAGTTTAAACGAAACTAAATTTTAATTAACCTTTACCTACTCGCGCCATGAAACTTCTATGAACTACTCGCGCGGTGTATTTTATACACGACATGTATAACTGCCAGAGAAAGTGCATAAATTATTGTATTACGATAGGAAAAAACTTTTTCAAGGTAACTAATGCTTTTTTATTAGATTCATAACTATTTGTAATACATTAATATAATAATTTCTGAATCAGAATTGTCGTCAATACTCTCTATATAAGCATGAGTAGAGATAGATAGGAGCATCGTCTGCTATTATACGAAAACCGCAGAGCAAGAACGAACATGCACAAAAACAACTTATTTTGCCGCAATCAACACAATATTGCACCATCATTTAGTAAACACTTTGGGCATAGGTTACGTTAAGGGTGAAGATAATATAGATGTGGTATCATTTCTTAAAATATTGGTGTACTTTTTACACCGGCGCGAGTATTTGAAGGTTAAGTAAAATAAAAATTAAATTCTAAAAAGTCATAGTACATAAAAAAATTTAACACATAAATGACCAATTCTTCTATATAATCCGAGAAGTCTAACATAAGGGGAGTAACTTATATTGATAAAAAAAATAAGTATCAAAAATAACTTTTTAAAGAAATATATATAATTGAGGGCGGAAAGACTTAGGTCGATAGCCCTTTGGTTACAATTGGTGACTAATAAAGATTTTTATTATTATTATATAATTTAATACAGCAAAAGTTAAATATATTTCTTCATATTGCCTTTTTGTATTTTGTATAACTCGCAATGAATATTATTATTTTTAAAGAAAAAAATCTATACATTTATGTTTTCATGTTTTGTTACAAGCAGTAACGTTTAGTTCATCTATGCCGAAACCATCTTCATAATATTCGAAATAGCATTGTTACCCTAACTACTAAAATTACGAAGCCGAAGTCGTGTGGAATCAGGGCTGAAACCCTTCTAACCATGCTTGAATCCGCTTTAATATTCACGACACGCGTAGCTTAAATAATTGGTTAAAAGTTAATTATCCGATGAGCGCCATCCTGGCGATCTTTATTAAAATATTTATTATATAATTATTCAAATTTTAGTCAATTATGACAAAATCATAAACCACGCAAAATTATTATAAAATTTGATATTTTACATATCCAAAATAATTATTAACACAAAAATGGAAAGTTTTTAAAAACTTTTTCATAATCGTAATGAATTTTATATATATTTTTTTGAGTTTAATTTTTAAATCTTAATAATATTAACCTACTACCCACAGTTTGGAAAATTCTGGTATACATAATATAATGCTTTAATTAACCTTAAGTAATGCTCTTAAATAATTCGAAAAAATAAATAAATTGAGTTACTTGTTTTTACGAGCGAAAGCAAAAAGCATATGCATAATTAATCTAAATTAAAAGAAGCGACTGAAAGGAAATTACCTTATAATTAAAATCAATTTCAATATCGGAATCGATGATTCTCTTTCTTACTGTAAAATCAGGGAATGTTATGTAATCAAGGCCCTCGCAGATCGGATGGGCGTTGGCGAAATTTAATTAAGTAGGTCGCAAAATCACTGATGAAGCCGCCAAATCACTCGATATGCAATTAGAGCATATCGATTGGATGCATTATCACGTCTATAATTATTGAAGAAAAAAAACAGAATATTTGCACGTAACAATTATGCAATATTGTGAGTTTTTCGCTGCGTTAATGGAAGCGAGAAGATTGGTCGTCACGTAGTTAGATGTTCATTTTAATTATACTCTCAATACGTTGAAGCATGAAAGTATTCATCGCTTTTATAATTGTCTCATATGTTTCTTATTACTTTTTTTTATTTACTCGAATTACATAAAGCTGGATGATTGTGGAATATAGCGAGATTCATAGATTGCTGTGGCTTCAACCTTTTTGTCTGAAATTCGCGTTCAAATTGAAAAAAATAAATATTAACGCTGTTAAAAGCAGTGTTTTCATATTTTAGTGATTTTCTCGGATTGAATGTAT